TTCCCGCAGAGGCAGTACCCCCCCACCCCCCCTGATCCTCCCTCCAGTGCTGACTGGAGGAACGGACGGAGGAGGGGGCGGGCACAGATGGCTCTGCCTCTAGATTGACAGTGGGCTCTGCCTATCAGCCAGCTGGGTGGATCCCGACAGTATTGTCAGGATCTGTCCCGGCTGTGGCGCTCTCAGTATATAGCGGGCAATAGTATGCTAAATACTGAGCTTTGGGTCACAGGAGGAACTTCGTATATGTCCTCCCATGACCCCAAAAGAGAACTATGGGATAACAAGATTACCCCATAGTTCTCTTAATAGGATTTCAAGGGGCATAATCCTGCTCAGGTAGTGCCTTGGGCTCAAAAATGGTCTAGAGCAGTGGTTCTCAACCTGTGTAACCTCGGGACCCACATTTGTCCTCGGTCATTAAGTCGCAACCCAAGTCGCACTGCAATGGAACGCACTGCATTAGGGTATGTGCGTTCTGGTGCGGATGTACAAACTGTGGGTGGGAGGTGCATTTGGGTTAACATTAAAGTGAATGGCAAAGCAATAGCCTGGATCCTCGGCCTGGGGACCAGTGTGGGTTGCTGAGCTGCGACGGAGCTCCATTCATATGCATTGCTTGTACAGCTCCCTTGCGTGCCCTGTAGCGGTGCCGGGAAGCAGAATTTGATGTTACTCTGGTCCAGGCAACTCTACAGGACATGTGAGGAAGCGGTAAGCAATGCATGTATGGATGGAGCTCCCTCGCAGCCATAGCCCCTAGCCCACCCCACCTCAAGCTGACACTCGGCACCGGGCAGCATATTTTAAATGGCTGCTTGGCACGAGAACTGACAGTGCTGTGCTAGGAGGTGGCTGAGGAAGCTCTCACCTAGAAAAGTGGAAGGCATGCGGCGACCCACTGAACATGGGGTCGCGACCCACTTTTGGGTCATGACCCACCAGTTGAGAACCAAGGGTCTAGAGGACCAGAAATTTGTATACTAGTTTGGAGGAACAGAGGAGTCTACAACTACAGAAAGCCCACTAGACTACTACTACAATACGGAGATGTCCCGTCAAAATATTTTTTTTTTAAACTTTAAGGTTGCTGCTTACAATCACCCGCAGCCCCTGTCCTTCCCAGGAGAGGCCCGATACTGCCGTGCTTGCTGCACGGATCTGTGCTGGCCGGCTTTTATCAGTGTGAATAAGGCCTTAAAGTGACACTGAACTCAGGAGCTAAACCTTAAAAATGCACTCAGGTACCTTAACTATTAACATTACTATGCAATTACATAGTTGATGGTAGATCTTGCACAACTATTATTTGTGCATCACTCGTTTGTGGATCCTCAAATCAACCCTTAAGCTATATTCACACTATGTCTGGACCAGATCTGCAAACTCAGTGCATCCGCTTTTTTTTTTTTATAGCTTGAAATGGGCTTTTGGTTGCAGTCCAATGCGTTCCAGTGCGTTTTGCATGCATTCCAGTCTAGAGAAAAATGAGACAAGCAGCATTTTTTTGGGTCGACCGGAATGGACTGCGCAGGTGTGAACAGAGCCCAGAAATGCCATAGGGATACAGTAGGATGCTTTTTTGGTCCGGACATGATCCAGGCATGGTGTGAGGACATGACCTTTCCTTTTGGAGGGTGGCTACTTTCCTTCCCCATGGTCTCGGTGTGTTTTGGAAAGTAGTGACCGCTCCAAGCTAACTCCTGTGATAAGACTATAACTTCAATACCAATTAGCAAAGTAAAAGTGAGATTGTAGTCCATCACAGGAGAGTTTGCAGCGGTGACTACTTTACAACACACACAGAGACCATGGGGAACAAAAGTAGCCACCCTTTTGATAAGGTCACCTTTTGCAAAGTAATGCATATTTGATAATATAAAAAAAATATGCTTTCCTTTAATTTTTGCAAAAAGTGAACTTATCCTTTAACTCCTGAGTTTAGTGTCCCTTTATGAACAGTGGCGGCTAGCATTGTAATTGATTCCTTTACAGTGCAAAGGACATGAATGAAATAGGGCTGCAACCAACTAATCATTTATAATAATAGTTGTCAACTATTCTCATTATGGATTAGTTGGATGGCTCCCCTAGCGCTCTCCTCCACACTGGGAGGGCAGAGCAAGCAGTGGGCATGTGCAATAGCCAACCTTCTATTGCAATTTGAAATGGCCAATAGCAGGCTGGCTATTGCACCCACCCACTGCTTGCTGTATTTACATTCAGCTGCCCTCTGTGGAATCTTGCCACTGACAGCTGTCATTCCCTGGCTGAAGCTATTCAAGCACCATGTGCTTACAATACATTTATAAAAAAGGTGGCGAAAAAGCCATTTTCGGTTTCGGCCTGACTAATTCTGCTGCAGGAGGTGCATTGCAGTGCCATTCACTTCAATGGCACCCCAAACGCGCCTCTCACACACAGCGTGATCACCCGCACTGGAGCGCACCGTAATGCAATGTTGAGCATTCCAGTGCAGTGCCATTGCAAGCAAATTGTGCATGCATTTTTATTCTGAACTAAACGTTGTTTGTAACACTGCATTTGTGTATTTTATTTTTAATTAAGAACGGTATTTCATTTTTTTTCTATTCGATCAAAAATCGGCCAACTAATCGATTATAAAAAGAATGATTAGTTGCAGCCTTGAACTGAATAAATGCTTTACAATGGGGAAGTCCATTTAAGAAAGAATACACAAATCTAAGTAATTCTTACTATAAAGAGCATAGTAAACAATCTTTTACTGAGCTGCAAGCCGAACGCCAAACCTGATATTTTAATACGAGGCCCGATAATTATCTCTGCTTCCTGTTGATTCACCCAGTATTGCTGGTGTTAAAGTGACATTAAAGACTCAGGGTTTTTTCCCCCACTCTAATTCTGCTTTTAATACTTACCTCATTTGATGCCCCTTGAACCAATCATCTTCTTCCTTCCACTCATTTCCAGCAGTCCCTACAGCACTGGTGCCACTGATCCAGCACAGACTCCTCTGTCTTCTGTGTCCCATGGAGTCTGTCCGGCGTGCATGCACTTCCATTGAGTCTCTCTCTCCGCCGGTGATATGGACTGTGCATGCGCCCGTCCACATCATCCTCCTGCCTAGCCGTTCGGATCCGTGTTTCGCAGCCGGGAGCGAGCGGCACAGACACAAGTATTTTAGATTGAGCCACTTTTTTGTTTGTTTTGATAGGTGTCATATCTACAGTTTGCTAGCAGTAGATATGCAAAAAAAAATGGGAGACTTTAATTCTACTTTAACCTCCCTGGCGGTCCTGATTATCTCCATTTTTTTAGTTTAAATCTCCCGCCGGTCCCTCCCCCCTTCGAACCGGGCACTCGCAAGGGACGGAACGCGGAAGACGGAGGACACAGCGGGCTCGTGCACAAGGTAAGCGACGCACAGTGTAATCCCGAGTGTGGCTCGGGGTTACTGCTTTCGGTACTGAAAATAAACCCCGAGCCACAATCTGGATTACCGCCAGGAAGGTTAAGTCACGTCTTTTAGGGCCCATCCCCTAAAGCTGAGCGTTTGCGTGGATGGGCTAGTGTGTTGCGACAGCTCCAAGCAGTCACGGTTTACATTTTTTTTTTTTGCTTTATTTGGTGTACAAACTGTACACGCCATTCAGATCCCAGCACAGTAGCATGGTGTATTGAGCTGCGGTCCAGTGCTCTGTGAAAAATGCAGCTTGTCTGGCTTTTTTTTTGCAGCACAACACATTACAAAACAATTGTTTCCTATGTGCCCTAGCCGTGACTAGTATTGCTCAGCTGCTAAAAAACACCAGTCATTGCATCTAGTGTGAATGAGCCCTCAGATGGGTGAGAAGGCAATGGAATGGCAGAAGTTACTGCACCATTATCAGCTGAAGCCAATGAATGGCAGCCAGGCCACTGGCATTTTAAATAATATTGATAGAAGATTTACTTTTTAGGGCCACCATACACCTTGCAGTCTAACTGTACAATCAGCTATAAAATCTACCAAAATTACATGAGGACCTACTTTACCTATCCAATCAATCTGTATCCAATCAGGCAGGCCCTCGTACTACATAGTTGTTGGTAGATCCAAAAGGTGCTTGCACAATCAGACTGCATTGTGTGTGTTGTGAGCTTTAAATAGTAATTTTTCATTTAATTAAAAATAATGAACAAAGTCTATAAATAATGTGATGAATAGGGGGTCTATGCTCAGTGTTAGTGACCAGGACCATTGCCTAGGACTTATCTCTCATGCCTGACATGGTTTCTGATAGCAGGGTCAACTTCGCCCAGGAAAGGCTCTCCCTGCAGTAATGACAGCTGTCAGCTCAGGAAAGGGTTAAGAGCAGCCGGAAGCCGGGCTCCTCCGACAGACAATAACTTCCTGTGACGCAGCACTCTCGCTTATGTCACCTCGGCAAATGGCCTCCGCCGACAACAACGTCACAGCCTTCATATGACCTCTGAGCTTCGGTAGAAACGTATATCTTACCACAGCACACAACTTGAGCCGTCCATACGTCCTTAGGACGGAAGCCGGCACCGACCCGGAACGTCCCCGTAGCAGCTGGGCTCCCCCTCACACACCATACGACTCCCGTCCCGGTCGCTCCTCCTGCCTGTCTGAGCATAAAATGGGAAATATCCCCTACAAAATGGCGCTGAGCCCTTTAGCGAGCGCAGGCGCAGTGTCTTGAAGCGCGCGCGAGACTCCTCCCCCTGCGCAGCCCTTTCACTTCACTCTAAAACTCGGCTTAGTTCCGTTTCCAGGAAACAGGCCAGCCAATGACGGCGTGGGGAGGGGTTCATCGCTCATCTCGGCCGGCCAATCGGCGCCCGCTGAACTCCATCCGGCTCTCAAGTGTCTAATCGCACACCGAGGAGGGCTGTCTTCACTAGGGCCTGTCCAATCGGCAAAAACGACAAAATTGGTCCAATAGTGGAGCTCGTTTTCCTTACCTGCATTTTAGATGGCCAATAAGCGTTTTAGATCCGTGCTACCAATGGCCCTCCAGCAAATTCTGGCCAATCGGGCACCCTGTCTGCTCTCCACGGCGTGAGGTAGAGCCAATGGTCTTCCGAGAAGGATTGCTTCTGCTCAACAGCTTGTTATTTCGTTTATTGCTTGCAGTTCCGTGCAAGTGGGGGAGTTGGAGGAGCCGAGTGTGTGAGTGCAACTTTCAGCTTATGGCCTCCGTTGTGTGAGGTGAGGTGAAGAGGGAGGTCGGTAGGTTTGGTGGTAGAGAAGAAGGGGGGGCGGGATTCTGGAGCTCGGGGCATCCGGCTTGGCCGAGCGCTGACTTCTCAGCACAGAGTTTGAAGGGATGTGACGGGGCTGCCAGCGGAATGGTAGGCGGCAGAGGTGAAGGGAGACAGAGTGGCGGGGAGGGG